TCGGCGGGGCCCCCGGGGGCGGCCAGCGCCCGGCTCAGCAGCGCCTCGCCTCGGTGCTTCTTGGTGACGTGGGCGTCGGGGCCGTGCACCGTCTTGACGTGCTTGCGCAGGGAGCTGGGGTCCGTGTAGCGCTTGGTGCAGCCGGGGAGCTTGCAGACGTACGGCTTCTGTGTGGGGAGATGGGGGGTGAGGCCTGGCCCCGCCCTCACCTCCGGGCCTGGTGAGCTGCCCACTGGGCACCTGCCCACCTGGGGGAGCCTCGTGGCACAAGGGGGTACATTTTGGAACCTCTGGAGGGGCTGACCGTGAGCTCCCGGGGTCTCTGCTCTGGGCCCAGTAGGCTTAGGCCAGGATGGGGCTCCAAAGCGCCACCTCATTCCCAAGCAATGAGAAAACCCCCCCCCGGGGAGAGCCACCCCCGTGGGAGGTGGGGACAGCAAGGTCCAGTGGCAGGGAGTTCCACTGGCTCCTGTGCCTGGTGGGACATGGCTCTCATGTCAGGTAAGGGATGTACCTCTTTGGAGTGGGGGGGAACGGGCTGTACCATGCTGGGTGTGGCCATGGGTGTGGACCTCTTTGGAGTGGGAGGAGTGGGCTGTACCATGTTAGATGGCGGCATGTACCTCATTAAAGTGGGGTGAGTGGGTTGTACCATGTCATGTGTAGGGGTGTATCTCATGTACCATGTAGGGTGTGGGTGGGTAAGGGATGTACCTCTTTGGAGTGGGGGGGAACGGGCTGTACCATGCTGGGTGTGGCCATGGGTGTGGACCTCTTTGGAGTGGGAGGAGTGGGCTGTACCATGTTAGATGGCGGCATGTACCTCATTAAAGTGGGGTGAGTGGGTTGTACCATGTCATGTGTAGGGGTGTATCTCATGTACCATGTAGGGTGTGGGTGAGGGGTGTAACTCATTGGAGTGGAAGGCATGGGCTATACAATGTCAGGTACCTTGCTGGAGGTGGGGGGGAATGGGCTGTACCATGTAGTGTGGGATGTGTACCTTGTAGGAGTGGGGGAGCAGGGTGTGAGTGGGGGGAGCAGGTTGTACCATGTCAGGTGTGGGGATGTACCTCGTTGGAGTGTGGGAAGTGGGCGGTACCATGTCGGGTGAGGGGGGGGGCGGGCGG